TTTTTCTCAGGTACTATATAATATATATTTTATTATCTTTTTACCGCGCATTTGCACTCGTATAATTTAGGGTTTTATTTATTTGCGCCGAACCATTACACTTATTCTGAAATAAAAGTAGTCTAATTTACTCCTTATATCATGAGCTATGTGCCAGTGACAGTACCGTCAAAATCGGTCCAGCCGTTTCGGAGATAAGACGGAACAAACAAACAGACGGACAGACAAAAACGTTTAAAATTGTGTTATCGGTATAAGTACCGTATATACTTTTATATGCATTTAATAAAAAGCTGTTATTTAGACATTACAAACGGACACTTCAATTTTGATTATTTTTATAGACATATGCCATCAAAAACACAACTTGTAAAAAAAACAAGTCTCGCAACTCAGTTCTTCAACCGTAAAAAGTTGTGAGATCCATGTAATACCAAGTCGGTTAATTAATTCAGTTCACACTTAAGGATCCTTCTGTTTTAAGTTATTACGTAATTAGCTAACCTAACAACATTTTATAGCGACCATATCAATTTTAAAAATCTTTTATATTTTAAATATACAGATTGACTTGGCCCTCATATAGTAAGTTCCATACGCAAAGAACTTACGGTATAACGATTTCAAGTTTATTTATCAATCAACAGTTTCATATCAGAATTCAAGTAGATATGCACAAAGTTCTTGTCTCTTTCTTAATATACATGCTTTCTTGTTTGTCTTAGTAATCGAATCTAACTAAGAAATTGATTTTAAGCTAATTTCCCGATAAGTTAAAGATTTGAAATTTTGAACATCAAAATCTCAGAATCTGATCACAATCTATACAAATAAATAAAATGTAAGTGTCTGTTTGTAATGTCAAAATAACCGCCTTTTAATAAATGCATATGTAAATAATTACCGTACTTAAACCAGAAACACATTTTTTAATTTTTTTCTGTATCTGTCATTTTGTCTGTGTCTGTGTGTTCGGGTTGTTATTGTATATATATTATTGCAAGGAGTAACTTAGGCTTCGTAAGCTAAATTTATTTTTATTATAGAAATGTAATTAAGAGTTCTGCGCAAAAAATTAAAACCCATGAAATGCTATCGCAATAAGTTCAACGCGAACGAAGTCGCGGGGAATAGCTAGTGCAAGGAAATGAAAATGCGTGGTATATTAAAAAATACAATTTCTGAAAATATAACTTGTTATATACAATATTAATACATACTGATATGTTCATAACCATACTATTATCTTTCGATAGCTTATGCGTAGATCGGATCAAAATTAATAATTAAAATACTGAAGGTACTCCGGGTTGATTTTGACATCAAAAAGTCAAGCACCTCAGTACCCAGTGACCAAAGACTACTGTATAATATAAACCGTGACCATCGGTGCTGAGCAGCACCCGAAACGTCGGGTATTAAAATTGAGTAAAATAAACGCGATAAAATCCATAAAAGTAATTTTATGTAATGTGTAGTGTTCGTGTAAATATAAGAAACCATTACGATTTTTACGTATACCACAAAAATCTATATATTTAATTTAGTTTTTATTGAACTTATGTAATCGAACTTACAGCCTTTAATGAGCTGCCATTTTATTTCCTTGAAATACTCGTAATACTACGTTAAATAATTTTAAAGTTTAATTTAATAGTTTTTTCCTAATAAGGTTTGAATTTCTAATCTTATCGTTTTTTTTTAAATACAGTTTATTATTGTTCTTAAAATACCTCGTCGATTACCACCAATTACATCAAAATCGGTTAATCCGTTCGAAAGATATCGTTGTCAAAAAAAATCAAAAAAATTGTTTTTGTTTTAATAAATTCGAAATTTCTGCTCGGATCGGTTTTGATGTATGAATTAACTATAAGTTATTAAAAATTTTTTCGAGCGTTTTGAGATCAAATATAGCTGAAAGTTCCAGGGATAGCCAGCAAGGTCAACAGATTTTTTTTTACAAATTCATGTATACGATTAATTTCATTTTGGTAGTTTGATACAAACTAAAACTATCAGTAAATCTTAATATCTTTATTAGGAGGGGAATTTATAAAATAATTACCAATTCCATTTCATTCCGAAACGAAGGTTTCCTTGAAGACATTTCTAACTCAATGTAACATGAGTTCGTGCCTCGAGTTCTTGTTTCATGCAATTTCCTTGAACGTGGGAAGCCGTAAAAAGTTTGAAAACAATATTATGAGTTCTCACTTCAACGGCGCTGGATATCTTACAAAATAGACCTTCGACTTAAATTTAACCAGAGACTTAACATTGGCAGACAATCTTGGCTTACGTACTTAAATATTATAAAATAATTCGGATATAAAAGATATATTCGAATTACTTTATAATACTTTGTAATATTTATTTTATAAAGGGAGGTTTTAATTTTATTAATGATTTACTTTTTATGGATTCTTACAAGTACCCACATTATTCCACCTCCCTAGCGTGGTTAATACGGTAAAATTCTTTTATGAAGAGTATTTAT